TTATTTTCCCTTCCGATCTGAAGCTCGCTAGCCCCGCAACCCCGGCTGAATATCAACCCTATAGGGCCCCGTCTGTGGTGGTCTATTAGCCTGATATCATCCCTCTGATGGGATGTTTCTTGCTTCAAAACAAACTGGTACGCAGGTTCGGTTAAAAACTGAAATAATAATCAGTAATTTGTCTTTCTCTTCCGGAAGGTGACGCGAGAATCATAACAAAGTTGGAACTTATTGAGTAATTAAAAAGTATACAATTTTTAGTTTTGTTATTTAGTTAGTTTAAACACAATAATATTTACGTATAAAGACTCAAACAACACAAACAACACGATTGTGTTCCCTTTGTATTACAGAAATGAGTAAATTGTATTGATTTTATTTTATTTTCGAAATAAAAATTCAGCAATCTGTTACAATACAGTCACATTTATCAACAACAGCGACATCTAATTCATTTCGCAACAACTACCTGACGGTAGTACTCACTATCATACGATTCAGCGCCTCCATAACTTTAGTGGGCGCCTAGACAAGGGTGGGGGGATGCAACACTACCGCTACAGTGCAACCCTAGGCCGTTTGCAGTTCATAAATCAAAGTACAGGTGGCGTTGATGTCGAAAATTGGCGCGCTCTGTAGGATGATTTACATGAGTGTTTAGTGTTTATGGGGTAATCTGTGGTATGGGAGGTGATGTATAGAGGTTGGTATTGTTTATGTGGAGGTTATAAAATGATGAACGGTGTTACGATAGTTGTTGTAGTGCAAAATAGATGGTTTTTATGCATGGAAATAGCTTAACTGACGAGAAGAGTTTTAAACTAATATTGGAGAAATCAAAAACGGACAATAACAAAGCACACCGTTGGCGCATCATTATTATTGAAATAAATACAGGGTGTAAAAAGACACGTATACTTTCGTAAAAACAAAACCTACTTAAAATATCTTAATACACTCAAATAAATGGTAGAAATAGAACGCATAGCATACTATGTCATAACCCTCTGAAAAAATGCATATAACAGTTTTAAGACAAATAAATTCGCATAGCGCTTTTGCATAACCTAACATTCTAAATGTGAAAGATTATACGTATGAATGGATAGATAGATATGAAATAGTAAAAAACATACATCCGTTTGATAATATTTCACGTCGAAAATAGGCCCACAAGTCTTGAATAACATCTGGATAAAGCAGGAATAAAGAAGCGGAGGACAGAAGTTATAGTAAAATATTAGAAAATAAACTCCGTAGCATGCTTATAAAGAGGTCTAGCAAAAAAAGGGGGCTGATGACAACAATGATGATACGAGCCTAGTTCCGCTGAATTCCCACGAACCCTAAGGTTTACTGGCACCAAATACCGTATGGCATTAAGTCCGCGTAAAATATGAATAAATGATGACGTAAAATATAACACTAAGGCTTTAAGACACTAAGGTTTTATATATCTGTCTATAATCAAGGTCCAAAAGTATAAAGGGGAAAAAACTAATGAAGACGTCTGCACACCTCCACGCATTTTTTCACGATTTCCTCATAATATCCTTGTACGAATCGTGTTTTAAACGTTTGCATCCTTATTAAAAGAGGATCTTGCATAACGTCGATGGAAAACGTTATTTCCGAAATACACTGTAGCTGTGCAGCGGATATTTTGACTCGGTAATACTTTGCTAGAATTGCATCATTACTGAACATTGGTATTCTGTAGGTATTTTGTTGTTTGTCAAGATCAAGTGCGACATTCAATCAGGAGGTCTGTATTTAAAGAGTTGAATGTTACGGGCCGCTAATGATGGGGGCACAAAATAAATTTTGAAAGGCTTTATCTATACTAATATTATAAAGAGGTAAAATTTGTAAGTTTGTATGTTTGTAATTTTGTAAGTTTGTATGTAGGGGGTAATCTTTGGAACCACTGGTTGGATCGCCAAAATTCTTTCACTGATAGATAGCTACAATGTTCCTGAGGGCTATATGCTATAAAACATCAAGCTACGATTAGGGGCGTAAATACTCTTTTCCCCTTTTATTTAAAAAGCAGCATATAGATACCATATTCACGTTTTTTATTGTTTGTCCTCAGGTTATTTTCAGACTCCAGAACGTTATTGAAATATGCCTATATTACATTAAACCAAGAGACCTCATCATTAGCAATAGTACTGACGATGATCAACATAAAACTTTAATCATTTCCAAATTAGCGTCAAACAAAACATCATCGTTTATCATCGAGAGATAGGAGGTCAAGCGTGTACTCCTCCATTAAGATCAGCAACCTACACGTAATGCTCAGAATGGATGGCTAATGACGCCATATTTTATACAATGAAATGGTAATTTCGTTAATTTTGACATGGACAAATTTGAGGGAAGTGAAATATCATAAGTTAGAGAAACTTGGTATTGTTAAAACGTATGAATTTTAATAACACTGGAACTAATTGTTCCCTGAAGGCTTGAGGCTAATTGTTTGTAACACCGCACTATTAGGTTAATCTTATTTATAAAAATGGATCTCAAAATGACCAATTTTGCTAATTCTTTCTTGTTGTGTTTGTTATTGTCAGGAAAAGGTTCCTAGCAAAGAAAATATTAGAAGAGTAGAGGGGAAGATTAAGAAAAAGTGACACTTTGGTAGCGAGATAGTTGGACCCGTGCGAAGCGGGGGCGGGCCGCTAGTTATAAATAATAAATACGTCTAGTGGGCTCTCCCTCTATTTTTACACTGAGCATTTTGATAGTCAAAGACATTTTGCTAAGCTCGAGCCCAAACCAAATTACAATTTCATTCGATTTAATAACAACACCAGTAAATGCCTCAAATGAAATCGAGGAATACAGTCAGTCATCTCCTAAACCAGATAATGCAGACAATATTTTCTTATCCTCAAAATGTTCAGGAAAAAGACACCAAAAATCCCCCCTCCTTCAATTTCATTCAAACAATTCCCATTGTACTAGATACAGAAGTAGCCCTTTTATGAAACCTGTTCCAGTCCCACGTGTCTCCGCCAATGACCTTAAAGGCACCACCTGCCTTCCCACGGAAGTTGAAGGTCAGATAGGGGGGCTGATTAGCGAGGAAATACCAACAGTCGACGTCATGTTTGTGAGAAATGGCGGGGTTGGTTAGTTTTCAAAATTGTGAATGAATCACAAAGAAACGTATGATGATTCAAAATTTAATAAACTATTGTATGGTTTTGGAGTAGAAAATAAAAATTGAGTCTGTTATAAAGTAAAAGTGCCCACTGCTGAGCAAAGGCCTCTTCTCACACGGAGAAGGTTTGAACATTAATCACCACGATTGCTCAATGCGGGTTGGAGATTTCAAACTTATAATTAGAAATTATAAGTCCAGGTTTTTCTCACGATGTTGACCTTCATCGTATGTCAGTGGTGTCTAAATAATCATAGAAAGTACATGTCATTCGGAAAAAGTCACATTGGTACTTGCCAGGTTTCGAACCCGCACCCTCATGCATAAGAAGCGGGCTCCTTAACCTCCGGGCAACCACGACCTCTCTGTTATATTACAAAGCAAAGGAATAAAGAAGTATCTAGCATAAAAGTTAAAAATTGTAAACGGAAGAATGGATTAACGACACCTAGACTGCACAAGCAAGCAAAACACTATAGGAAAAAACTTGGCAGTGTCACAAACAAAACAATTGAACTACATATAAAAACAAACTAATTAGCCTAAAAATCTCCGGACCATAAAAGCAAAGACAACACCGTAAACAACTAAGGTCATTTACCTTGAGGTAACAAAAAAAGAACAGTTACAGAAATAAAAAATCACCATGAGGGATGGAAAACAATATAAAACAGACCTTATAGAACAAAAAATAGAATAGAATAGAAGATAACAATGGTACAATTTGAAATTCTATTTAGTTGTAAAAGAAGCAATCGGCCGTTTTGTCGAATATTAAAAAGTGAAGTGAAAGTAACTGCGAATGTACATTTAAAACCATATTATATAGGGCATAAGATTCATAATATAAACAAGCTAAACGGTGAATGTTACAATTTGAAATGTTTAATGGATGCACTTAATACCTAAAATTTGAGCACAGATCTGAGAGATTAGTTTTAATGACTTTTGGTTTCTTATGATAGACCTAAACAAAAGAATACACTCTTAGATGAAAACCAATTTTGTAGGCAAATAATAACACATTGGAAACTCTTTGAGTACATAAGAGGAAATGGATCAAAATCTCCTTATTTTCAAAGTTTAGGAATTTGATCGTCTTCCTGAGAGCTACACTGGAACTGTAAACCAATTTTCAAAGGTTTTTACTGACGAAACCCATCAAAATAACTATCCAAAAAATAAAAATAATCCATCATCACTGTGACCAAAAACCATCAAGAATGCAACTACTATCTACCTGTCTAGTGCCTAAGTCTAATCTAATTCTAAAATTTATCTAACGAGAGCGTCAAATCCGTTATCAACATAAATCATCTTATCATGGAGTCAGTCAAATGGTATTACGTTTCAATGAGGTTGCGCGTACGCATCGTATTCTGTTACATCAACGACAACGGCGCCATTTGCCATCCACACTGCGTTGGTTGCGCTCGTGACTCGTGGTTATAATTAATGTTATATCTTTATTTAAGGCAGATTCAACTACTATTATTTTAATAACCAAAACTTTTTTTTTGTGGTTGTTGGCACATGCTGGATTTTTATTATTTAGAAACAAACTGCCTATACCTTATAAAAGCGAAAAATGACTACTATTTCTATATTTACAATAAACTGATATAGGTATATATTTTATATTCAGTCCATTGCATCGAATACTGTAAAGATATACACACTGTATAGCAACCTAACAATAAGTTTTTTTAAATTCATAAAAACATACCTATGTAGTTTGAAACTGACATGGAATCGTCATTATAACAAATCCAATCATACTTTTGGTTGACGACAAACAGCGATAAACATAAGTTAAAATACTTACAAGGCCCAATACTCCTCCCAATTCTTCTCCTTCGTCGAGCCGTAACCTCGTGGAAGAGTAGCAGTCTTCGATCTCCCGTTAAGAGAAGCGAAAGATCCCCTCTTCTCCTGCAAGCTCATCACCGAATGGCGAGACACGGGTTCTGAACGAAACGACTGAAAGGACACTTGGGACCCCTCATCAGATTTCAAACTGGTCTGAGAACCTTTAAATTTCCCATTGATCTGAGGTTGGGAATACTGTTCTTCAGATTCGTTGCCATTTCGATATTCCCCATAATTCCCATTTAAAGATCGACTTCCAGAATCGGTTCTGGCCGGAGGAGGTCTCGGGGCTGTTTTCCTATAGTCGAAGGAATCTGATCTGGTGAAAGAAGAGGTCCTTTTCACCAGTTTTGGTGATTCCTGTATATTGACCAGAGATGGCATTTTGGATTCTTTCTCCATGTCAATTTCGTGTTCCAATTGTGTCTGCACGTGTGCTAACATCTCCTCTAGATCTCCAAGATCTGGATCAATGTTCATTTTCATTCGTCGCATCTTGGAATGTTCGGTTTTCGTTTATCACAATCGATCACGGTCACTGTCACTGTTAAGAAACGTTGTTATTGATGGATTCTTTGTCACTTCACTTTACCATTCAAAGCTCAGTTTTTCGGTCATATTAGAACACACATCTTCCCTAGATACACTATAACAAATACAAATAACAACGTCAATAAGCTAAATCACGTAATATTAAAATCGAATTTAAATTTGCGAAAAATAACCGTCGTCTTGGAGGACGTGCGCACGCGGCTGCGATCGGCGCGCGAGTGACACAGTTATCAAAGTGAGTGACACGCACACTGCACAGTGAACCTCATCCGTTATCTTCAACTGACATCCGATAGTGGGCAGATAACGTAAACAGATAAACAAAGCTATTCACAACCTTACTACATTGAAAATAAGAACTAAATAAACTTAGTAATCAATAGAAGGGACATTGATCGATCAAATATTTTCCTAGATCAAGTTTGCAGTTTTCTTGGTTTTAAACGCAGTGGGATAAGGTTCAAAGTTTAATAGCTTAAAGAGGGGATAATTATGTTAAGTTAGTGGGTTATTGTAAAACTAGTGCAGTGTAACTGGGTGGGAAAGTAGTAATATAATACGTTTATGTCTGTATCCATCGAGTACCTATGCACCGTGAACGGAAAAAAACAAAACGAGACCGCAGACACCTTTGCGGTACGAAGCACAGTTCCATAGCCTTTTATAACCATTAGAACTGTAATTAGAGATAATTATTATGGCTTACTGCAACGCTAAAATGGCGAATGGTTTCGAGAAACATTGCATTTTCCGAAGCCATCAAAACCTAAAAGAGTAATGTCTGGGTGTCATAAAACCTTTTACATATTATATTTTTAACTCCTTATTTCAATATACCTATACTATTGTTATAAAGAAGAGACATTTGTTTGTATGTCGGGGGTAATGTTTGGAACCTCTGATGGAATTTCCAAAATTATTTTTTACAAAAGAAGGGTAATCTTTAGATTTCTTTCACTGATGGATAGCTACAATGTTCTTGAGTGCCTATAGACTATTAATCGTACTGATTTGCGTATTTTAGTCGAGCTATCGCTTTAAACGCTTCTGTTTCTTAAATCGCGGGATACATTACATTTATACGCGAGCGGATGCTAGTGCATTAGGTATTATCGAACAACTGCATACCTTACGATATGGTAGGTAAAGTGTATTACATTAGTCGACGAACAATACAGTATTATGATGACATCATTTACACTGAGAAATTAGGTACAGCGCACACTTTGTTATTGTGCGATTATAATTCGTCATATTAAATAGTAAGTGTTATGTAAAATGTAGGGACAGATTGCTTCCAGTGTGACAAACCTAAGATGACGACCAGGGGCAGCTGTAGGAATAGTGAATACAGATTGAAACAAATCATCGGTACCATGTCACTTGACAAAAATTGCCACTTGTCAGGGGAAAATCATCAAATGACCATCCCGCCCAGGGTAAGGCGAGAGAGAGAGAGAGAGTGTCAGACTCTTACTGACTAAAAACACCCCTCGTTCCTTCCCTTGCTTTGGGCCGAAGATAGTCTCTCGAAGATTAGGTTTAGGAAAAAAAATGTTCTACAATTACAACCCGCGTGAGAAAGGCCATTTACCATGTAGTGTTATAGTTAAAGTTTAGTTTTTATGATGTAAATACTCATTCATACCTGTAGATAGTTTACTTATAACAGCTATAACAGACTTAACAACTCATTGATAACTCTGCAATAATAATAAAACAAATCATAACGCAATAAAAGAGAAAGGAAAAGTAATATTGTAAGACGAAGTTCAATCATTCAATAATCTAGAGAAAGTTGAAATAATCTCCAAATCGCCAATTGCTTTGTAATACCTTCGATTCTTCATGTAAGTAGGTAATTGTGTAAGTAAAAGTATTGGTTGCAAATTTGGCTGAATAAGCTTAACTACCGAATTTATCTAACCATATAGGTTAGTTGTCAATCTATCCATAAACTACCGAATTTTTCTTATGAATAGGTTGCCATTGTCAACTAACCTTTTAAAATTGTAGATACATGTAATCGTAATATTATGCACTGAACTTAATTAAAGATAATAAGTGTCAATCTGTCGGTCAGTCCTCTTAGTGAAGCTATTTGATATTTGGCATCGAAGGGGTTAAATCCCGATTTCTTATACTTGTAATTTATAATTAATATAATCCTCCCGATTTTTCTTACAACTATAGCCAAAAAACGAATCATCGAAATCTGTTCAGAATTTTTCGAGAATTGGTATTAGCAATACAATTAACGATTAATTCCTATATTCATGTAGTATATCTTCCTATAAGTAGCAACAGACGCAAAAGTGACAGACTATTAAAAGTTTGTAAATTGCACGCCACACCTTAAGCTCACAATGACCTATAATCGAATCGTACACTGCTCCTAATTGGCAAAGATTTGTTGCGTTCTACTCGTCTCTTTTAACTAATTGTTCTTTATTAAAACGTTTCAATTGTGACGAGCAAATGACGAGAGGATTGATATTAATTGTCGGGTGACTGTCCTGATTCTGATAGTCACTTCATAGAAAACTATACATGCAGTGTAATACAATGTTCCGTGTAATTACTCTTTGTATGATTTGTAATCAATTTTTTTTTATGTCATAGATCGGCAAACGAGCAGACGGATTACCTGATGGTAAGTAATCAGCGCCGCACACGGACACCGGCAACGTAGGAGTTACGAGATTGCTTTGTCGACCTTTTAGGGATTAGGGATTTAGAGATTTAGGGATTGAGGAGGGATTGGGAGTGGAGAAGGATTGGGCCTCAGATATAGAATATTTTTCTTGGACTACAAGAAAATTCATTACTTTTAAACACATGAGGCGTGATGATATTTCGTAAAGGTAACAGCAAGACCTAAAATATAGTCCAGTTCCTTACACGATACAAATTTTGGACAGTTTCTTGAGCAACCAAGAACTTGTTTATAGCCACTAACTAATTCGAAAACAAATCCCTACATTCATTCATAGTTCGTAATCTTTATTCACAATTAATCCTAAATAGATTTCAATGAAAAAAATATTATTGACAATCAAATAAATATCTGTACTACGGAAGTGAATCATTCTGATACAGAAATACTCGACAAAGTGTGACACATCATTTCTTACGAGGTATTCCGATTTCTATAAGGATATATGTATTATAAAAGTTTTTCTAAGAATAAATATTATTTATTTATGGTTCCTATTCATGCTTTACTGCACATCAGTTCAGTTTAGCAGAATAATCAGCCGGCAGCAGCACTTTGCAGGGCAACGGTTTGACGATTCGCTTCCATTCTTCTCTGGTTAAGGTTTTCTTCGGAAATACCTTGTAGAAGACGAGTCTTCTGGGTCTTTTTCAATAAGAAGAATGGAAAATCATTCTGTGACCTTGCCCGTTCTGATTAAGGCATGACAACCAGACTAGATGTGGGTTATCAGATTCTTACTGTGCGACCTATCCACGACCACGACAACCTTCGATGTCTGCCGCGAGGTCTGTTTGCTTGGCAGATCGGTTTGACTGCACGGTTAGGACGATGGCTGGGCAACTGGTTGCAGCGCAACGTCAATGTCTAGGGCTCGATTCTGGCACGGAACAACTCTTTGTATTCACAAATTGTTGTTTCCAGTCTGGGTATGGTGTGTAACATGTGAAATTGTATGTTTTAAACCCACCCAGGACACAGGAGGAATCTTAATATGGAGCAACTATTTTAAAATAAGAGAAAAGAGTTGGCATAGAATGGCGAAATGACATACCTTTAAACTAACCTATACGAAAATAAAAACCATGTTCACCTGTACATACAGCGACATCCAAAACAAATATTTAGCACTAAAATTCCACAAATCAGGTTAATGACCTAGACATTATCACGAAACCATCGTAAGGTTATAGTCTAAAGCATTACAAGTAGTTGAAAGTAATTAGAGGCTAAACAAATATGGCTGATAACTAATTGTTTGTTTACTAAAGATAAGTAAAATGGAACGTCGTTACCCGGTCAGGTGATAAACGTATTCTGTTCAAATATTACCTTTATCTATCATTCTTGAAATACCGAAACTACCTATGTATAATACTCAAAGATGACACAAAATATGACCTGCTTCCGCAATTTTTTTCTAATGTAGAAGTTTTGTAGTTAATTACTTCAGTTGCTCCCAAAGTCCCGCTTTTGTAATGAAAGGGAAACTAAACGTTCTGGCTTAGCTTCAGAACACTACAAATAGTGTACTACCCACTGGGTTGAAAGTTCTGAACTAATAAAGCGTTCTTGTCCTCGTTTTCAAAACGGATTTTGTTTGTATAACATGAAAAGGTTAACGAATTGATAATGTGTCTTCACTAATATCATGATTAGAAATAGTATAAAGTTTTTGCCGTGGGGTAATTACGGATCGACAGCATCGATCTAATTCCATAGTAGCATTGGCAGCAACAACTAAAATATTAAAAAGAAGAAAAATATAATCTCATCAAATGGTTTCTCTTGCCCTGGCGGAGGCAGGGTGAGAGCGAGTGTGAGTGTCGGACGGCTCTCACTGAACAATCATTCCTTCTCCTGCCCCAGGCCGAGTCCGCGGCACATTATTACGGTTGCCCCGCAACCCCGGCTGTCTGACATATACAACCGAACCGAACCGTCTTCGTACCGTCACTTTAGTTCACCAGTCCATTTATTTAGAACCATCTAATATGCTTTAAAAGCTCAAACAGACCACAGTTTCTTTTGTCCGCCCAAACTATATTCGAGTGAGTTCGACAGTACGTCGAACATTTTCAAAGGAACCAACGTGGCGGTTTCACCAGGGTCCGGTTCGATCGTGTATTTGTGCTTAAAGTGCAACTGCAATATCAGACAGGCTCTCTGTCATCAGCTTCTCAAGTCCGTTGTGGTCATAGTAGGAAACTGTTTTATTGTATCATCGTTCAATAAATCTAGCAAAAGACCTGATATAGATGACGATGATGATGCTGTTGACGATAATGTTGTTGACAATGATGAAGAGAATAAAAAACTTAACGT